AATTATCGCTTCTTATATCACTAATGTAGCAATTTGATGCAAATTTGAATTAACTTCACGCATATTAAAAAATAGTACTAATAGCACTTATTACTTTGATGATAATTTACTACCAACTATTTGATTTGAACTATACCCAAATAAAAAAATATATTTCGACTCACGTAAACTATTCTTGGTAGGAAACCACTTAAATCATATACATAAATATGTATATGATCTAAGGTTGACCATTGTCAAATCCGTTACATAAATAAAATATATTAGGTACGTACAAAATACAACAAAAAGTGAAAACTGAACATGGAACAATTTAAATTTGACACGGGCCGGTCGCTATTGTAAGTCAATTGAGAAATAATTCAATAAATCACACAATAATAAACGACAATTTAAAATAATTTGATAAACTCGATAACATGCAAGTCTAAATTTCGAAAAATGTACAATTCATTAGATATGTATTATTATAGGTAATCTTCACTTAGAATCGAAAAATACAGGAAAGTATATAATTTATATTTATTTAAACAATCTACCAATAATGATTATGAATTTATTATCATTGCCTTTTTAATTCAAATATTTTAAAAAATTACACTGAAACAAATTATTGAGTATCGGTTAACCAAGTAGGTTTGTTAGAGAATATATCGTAGCTACAACCAGAAAACTGTAATACATACGAAATGGTATTGTTTTCAGTACAGTCCTGTTTTTGTTAATTAATGATGGTGTTATGAACAAAAATATTTGTTGTATTTAAAAATTGTTACTATTACAACAGGATAATCTATTGAACAATATTTGTATTAGAAGGAACCAAATGTCTGATAATCTATTTTTAGTCTGGGAATTTAAACACGTACCAACAACCGACAAATTTATAATAGGTACATATTATTTAGTGATTTCAACAAAACTGTATGGTAATATCAGCTAATAATAAGGTTTTCCCGTTAGTATCTCAGAAACTATTATTGACAGTAGGTATTTTCGATAGGGGAACTGAAGTGGAAGGGAATGGATACTGATTTACCATTATTATTATAAGTCATTTTTATTTTTGTTATCGACTGTTACTCTTGACTCTTAAGTGTTGTTTCATCGCGTTATCGCTATTACTTTTTTAAAATATATATAATGGCAGACCACGATGCAACTGATTTTTTAAACGCGTGGAATTAAGAACAATACAATGAAGTTTTTGGTCGTAAGTATTTCTTCAACTCAGGTACACATTATATTACCTTTACACGAAACCATTATGGTGACCAGTCGCAACTTCCATTGAACAGTACATTTTTGTTAAAAATTAAATTTTTTTTTTTATCATAAACATATTATTAGGTATTTTTCAAAATGGGATTGTTATAAGTTACAACTTACACTAGAAGGCAGTTTGACTGTTTTTAAGTTGGTGGTTTAAGAATAGGTAATACTTGAGGTGATAATACACACCCACCTATCACAAAATCACATTACCTAATTAATACCATAATTTTATTTTTTTATTACCAAGACTTAACGCTAGCTTATTTTTATGTAATTTGCTCGATTATTTCAATAATATGATAAAATAGGGATAGAACTCTAAATAACTGGGCAGTCTTTGAGTCAGTAAAGTCAGTGTATGCCTACCACAAAATTAGCCCCCTCTGACTTACACTATAGTACCTAGGGATGGTAAAAATAATATCGATATTTTTCTTGAAATGTCAAAATATATAATATATAATTTACTTATCTATTAAAAATAATTGTGTAGGAATATAATACCCAGCGACCAAAATTTGCACAATGTTCATGTATATATGCCTATAATAGTTCTAGTTTGTTCACATGAAAAAAAAAATGGTTAAAATAATTTTAAATAACTTTAAACCATTGAACTAAAAAATAAAATAAAAAATATTGATGATATGATACAATAATTTAACAAAATTGGATTATCTATAAAACGTATTTTTTTACTTCAACAGAAAACGACATAGATGAACATAGTATGAAATCTATACTATTGCTGACAAAGAATATGACGATGGAGTTAATTCCTATATCCCTTAACTTTAAACGGGCTATTAATGTGTAGTCTTAATGGCCCATTAGTTAATCACCCGATTTTAGCTCACTAAATTTCAAATGCTCGTTAAATATGTGTTATCGATATAGTTACAATAATTTTCCCATATTCATTGATAATATGGTTTTCAAAAAAACGTTTGATGGACCAACTTGTTAATTCAATTATAAAAATATTTATTGAATGCACTATGGCTGTCTTTATGATTCATCATCCAGTTATAGTGATGATTAATTCATATTGAAAGTTTTAGGACACTTACCTAAACTAAGGGTGTTTCAGAATAGGTACGATCCACTGTCATATTTTAATGATGTAGACTTTTGTCGTAGATTCCGGTAAGTAAAATTAAAAATTACATTCAAAATTCAAATTTTACTATTTTGTTAATGGTTATCATCAATAAGTGTCTATGATAACAACTTTCTGATTTGAACATCATGATAATATGGCAGTTGCTGTTGTTAAAAGATAAGACTATAGATAATATTTGTTTATTCTCATCGAATAATTGTACAATTTTCATGAAACTCATTAAGGATTTAATAAACCATTACAATTTTAACGAGCTATTAGTTAATCATTCGTTTAATATTTACGTAATAATTTTTCATGCAACCCAGCATTAGTGTTATTATTATAGTATAATGTACAATTGTATAATTATATTGTTTAAATAATTATGTTATTTAAATTAGTTATCTAACAACCTATTTATTTTTTTTGGCAAACTTTCCTTTTAAGAAATTTATTTATCTTTAACTGTGTAGGTACCTTTCTTGTTAAGAATACTTTTCAAATGTAGATATTTAGAATATGTGTTTAAATACTTCCTTTTAAATGTATTTGAATATAAATACAAATACGTTTTGAAAGTATTAAAAATACTTAAACGAAATATTTTGTTGTTCAATAAATTTTATATTGAAATATTTATTTTTATTATATAATTAACATTAATTGCAAATAGATAGGTCATTATACTTATTTATAAATGTGTGCGTCCTACAAAAAATTGGTAATTGGAATTTGGAGTAGAACACTATAGAATTTAAAAAGTAATTTTTAAGTATTTATAATAGATTGGTTGAAAAGTATTTAAAAATTATTGAAAAACAAGTATGCAACTACTTAACAAGACTGGTAAGTAGTAAGTAGTAGGTTCACTTTATTTATTATCTATACTTATTAAGTACTGTTTTGCTGCTAGTTGCTACAGTGAAACATTTTTATGCAAGTAAATGTTTTGTTTTAATTTCAAACTGTAGTTTGTATTAATAGTGGTATTGAACCAACAGTTGATATAATAGAAATTAATGTACGGGCAAGTTATATTTTATTATAATTAGTAGGTGGCTATTTGATCCACTATAATAATGTTATTTTCTTTAAATATTATTTAATTATTCTAACAGGTACCTGAAGTGGTTTGAAGTCATTTTTTTTCTATTTCAGTATTTTATTTGATTTTAATTAAATATTTGTACCTATCCTGATTATCTACTATATTTATTTTCAATGATATATTTTTATAAATATAGTTTGTTTTTAAATTTCAATCTGAATCTTCTAGTAATAGTTCAGAGATATTACTGTCCAATATAACGCAGAATAATTTAATGTCATAGTAAAGTCATAGTTTATACTTGATTCTTTATAATAATGTTATCTTTGTTAAATTACTTAATGGTTTCTATAATTCAATGTATTATTGGTCATCCCTGGTATTATATAAATTTAATGTAAGATTATGAAATAAACCAATCCTAATTTAATTTAATTTATATAAATATTTGTATCATAAGCTTACACGGGAACTTATACAACTAGGTCAAAGTTGAATTTACTTAATCTAGATAACTTTTTTTCTGAAAAATTCCTTGAAAAAAATTAAGATAATTTAAAATGTATTAGAATTTATAATAATGTATGATTAAATTGTATGATAAGTGATGTAAATTTATATATTTTAAAACAAAAAAAAGAAAAGGAAAATTTTTCCAAATTAAAATTTAGACATTTTTTTTAAACCTGGAGGAATGTCATATTTTAGAGTTAAATCACATTTTGAAAAAACTATTTAACACCCAACAATGATTAAACTATGTATTGTAAACAAGATTATCTTGTTACAGAACTGTAGATAGTAGTCAACAGGTGATAGTGATTAACTTACAAGGATAACTAATGCTCAGCTTAATTTTTTAAATTGAAAATTTTAAAACATTTTTTTAATGTATTTATTCAAAGAATGAACAATTAGATTCAAAATTTAAAAACTGAATGTACTCATTCCAATTCCAAACTATGTAAATAATTATTATACACGGATGATTAAATTGTAAATGCTACAATTCCTCTTTTTAAATTGTTATATATATGTTATCTGTGTTTAAATTAGTATCATTGTACCTATAAAAAAATTTTTTAAAGGGCTCAGTGCTGATGTTCAAAAATGTAATCACCACTTCTACTAATTTATTGGGAAATACCCAAATAATGGGAAAGAGTATGACTCTTTTTAGGGGTGAAAACAACTGCAAGAATAGAAATAACTAATTATTAGCATATTTTTTAAATTAATAAATGTAATTCTATAAACATTTTTTAATTTGGTAAATTTTTTTAACATTAACAGCATGAGGAGAAATTAATTATCTAGCATATTTAACTAGTGGTTTTGATTATTTTGCTCCATCCCAATTTATTTATTTAAGACTTCATCTATAACACTTGAGATTAAAACAAATGCAATGACATAATATTTATCAAAATATGCGAGTCATATCATGAACACACACAAAACACATAATCTTCTTTGGGTAGAGAGAAACAAAAAAATAATAATAATAGTAAGTTCTTTATTTGAAAAGTAACTATATCTAGTTAAAAATTAATAAAATTACAATTATAAGGAGGGTTTAAATATTTAAATAACTATAAAAAATTATTACATATTAAAACTAATTTACTATTTAAAAAAATGAACACAAATTATTATTATTAAAATTTATAGTTTAGTAATTAAAGAAAGTAGTGGTATTTATAGAAAATAACTGTATATAGTCATTTTTTTTTTTTTTGTTACACAATTATATTTAAAATCTTAAATAAAAAAACAAATATTACTGCTTATCATTCCCACACTGTAGCAACTCATATACACTGATTAAAATAATTTTTTCCACATATCTAAGTAAAGATTTTCTAGTTCCCTACAATAGGATTCACAGTCAAACAGTAAACTTGTTGTTTTCGATTGCCATATTTGTTGTCTTTTTTGGTCCAATAGATGGGTGTGCTTCCCTAATTTTATTGCTATTCTGGTATAGTCAACTTCATTGAAAGCAATTAATTCTTGACAGTTTACTGCAAGTAATTGTGAAGTAGTCATGCGGGACACAAATGTATCTCCAGATAATGTTACTATTGGCGTTCCTGCCCATAATGCATCTAAGCAACTTTTATGACCATTGTAAAATGGTGTATCTAAATATACATCAGCCAGCTGAATTCTTCTCAGATGTTCAGCCTTAGGTGCTATGTTGCTGAAAATTATTCGTACTGGATCAATACCATTATATTCAAAATATTCATGAATGTTATTTTCGGTATCCTTAACAAACCTTAAAAGCCATAACACTGAATTTTTAACACCCTTTAGAATTTTTGTCCACATATTTAAAGTAGTTTGATCTATTTTATAAAGTTGTCCAAAATAGCAATACACTATAGAGTCTTCTGGCAGATTATACATTTGTCTTGTATAGTGTTTTATAAAACCATCAGGAAACATTTGAAGGCTGTACATATAAGAAGTATTATGACTGTCAAAGCTGCCAATGGTTTCATTGCAATTATTTCTATTTGTTGTTCTGTTTCGAGGATTTCGTTGACTTAGGTCATTAAATAATAACATGTGATCACCAAAAAATACAGTTCGGTTCAAGTAAACCAACTTTTCAGTATACAAATAATCTAAATCTGGCGGAGAACATTCTTTATCTGTTATTAAATAATCTATAAAAGTAGCACCACTAGTTCCAGGATGTCCAAGTAATTTAACTTGAATTGGAGCTGGTTTCAATGCAAATATTTCATACTCGAGATCTTTTGTAGAATCGCCCACATCAATTAAAATATGAATTCTATCTGCATTTATTTTTTTAGCTGCATCAATTGAACTGAGGTTGGAAATATCAATAAAACAATCAGCCGCATATGAGTTATTTGATCTAAACAAATATTATGATAATAAATAATTATAAATTAAGACAAATTAATAATAATGTAAAAAATTAAAAATATATATTATCATTATCATTTTGACCACAATTGTATTTAAAAAGCACACAGTGCTATGGGAACCATTATTTAGCTGTCCAAAAGTCCCATTTTTAAATGCAAAAAGTCCTACATTTGATTAATGATTATTTTTTATGGGAATATTTTGTGGATGATTTTAAAAATTTGAGATCAATTAGTTAACTAATTATCAAGTGAGATAGAGTAGTTTTGTTAAAAATGTTTACTCCTTTTTATTGAAGAATTACAATTTTTACCCTAAAAATGTTAGTTAATATTTTTCAGTCAAAATAATTTTTTTACACTTATTATTAGAGCACAGTTGTTTTAGTAGTAAAAAACTAGTAAATTGATTGTAGTGTTGCAAATAACAATTTTTTTTATAACAGTAAAAATATTTGGCTTAATTTTCGACATATTTACAGAACATGATCACTCAAAATGCATGGAGTGACTGAAGAACAAATTATAACAATCAGTCACATTTCACAAAATATTTTTGTATTGTGCTAAATACCTACCAACTTGAAATTATCAAAATAAAGATAAGATACCAAAATTAAATTGTATGGCTAGTGATAAGTTCTAGAATAGTTATATACAAGAGTAAATCCAACAAAATTGAAAAATTTCAAAAATTTGCATTTAAAACTTCTAAATTTGAATTCGTACTTCCATGAGACATATTTAAAATTTACTTGGCAATAAATTGAAAAGGTAGAAAAAATTTGCAAATACACAACCTTGCCCTACTTATTATATTGACTAACATAGAATTATTACAAAATAAACTCAAGTTTTCCATTATATTTCTGCTTTTTAAAGAGTAAAACTGCATAATGTTTACATTCTTAGACTATTAGGGGTACTAAGCGTAGCTAGAACTAAATATTTGAGGGGACTATAGCCCCTCTTTAGACAAAATGGAATTAAAACAAAATTATGAGTGTTATATGGCCAATACACTAACATCATTAAATTATACATTTTTGCTATAAAGTGTATGTATGTATGATATGTTACAATCACATTTAGGTACATGGTTACAATATTCAGAGTAATCAATCTATACTCAATAGTTAATATTTGCAAATGAAAAACGACTCTAAGCAGAATTTAATTATACATGTTTTGAAAGGTTGTAATATTTACAATTTGAAAATAATACACTTCCCATAAATTGTCCAGTTTTTTCTAAATTTTTTCTCATTTATTATGAAAACCCCTAGAACAAACAAATATTGACTTCCTTTAAGTACCACCACCCTAATCAAATTTTCTTTTAGAAAAAGTGCTACACATGAAAATCAAAACAAAAAGGTTGTTCAAGATCCATAAAATATTAAAGTAAAAATGTCTACTAATCATAATGTTGAAGTTTATAAAATAGATTATTCTCACATGTCAAAATACTAGTAAATTCAAAAATTAATGTCATAGTTTTTTTTTCACAAAAGATTATTTTGAATTTTAATTTTACAAATGCAATGTAATAAGTGATTAAATCTTTGATGAACATACTGTCACATTAATTTTTATATTTATATAAGTATATTGTCAATAGTATAAATACATATATGCAAACAATTTATTATATTAGATATATTTAGTTAAAAAATATAAATTGAATATTTACCTTAATCTATTTATTGGTGTTAGAGAATAACAAAATATTTCAAATTTGTTCCCATCATGTGATTTGCTAATAAACTTCACCAACTCTGTTGTAGGATGGCTACTACAATCCATGTATATATATCCTATACGGATGCAATTATTAGATACAGTTATATCATGTACATATCCTTGAGATAACCTTCTTTGTATATATGGTTTATCAACAAATTGTTTTGCAAATGTTGATGCAATTTTTATTAGCACTTCAGATTCAAAATTAAATAGTAAAGAGTGTTGTAGTGAAATACTTGGCACTTCGTTATTAGTCAATTGATGTAAAACAATATCTTTTAATTTGTTTAGGTATATCCCATTGAAATTTGTAAACTTACAAATATACCTTTGACATAGATTTAAGAAACAGCATGCATCTGGGTGATTTGGGTGAAGATTTAATACTTTTTTAAATTTATTTATCGCTTCATTAAATTGTTTCTTTTCTTTATAAATAAATCCTATATATAAGTGAGCTGTTAAACAATCTGGAAATAGTTCAAGTACTTTCAAAAAATGATTTAACGCAGCATTTATATTATTCAATTCAAGCGACAATGTTCCCAAAGCTAAATAGGTATTAAAATCGGTATCACAGATTTTTAAAGCTTTTTTAAAATAATTAAAAGCTGCTTTGGGGTTGTTAATTTCAATATAAAAATAATTTGCCAAATCATTAAGTATTTCAAAATTATCAGGAAAATGATATAGCAATAAATGAAAAAGTGTAATAACATCATCCGTATTGCCTTCTTGCTGTTTAATGTCCATTAGATTACGAATAGCATCATAATTTTTGGGGTATAACTGTAAAGATTTTCTGTAAAATTGTTCAGCTTCTTCTAGTTCATTTTTTTTTTCATGAATAAATGCAAAACTAGTAAAAATTAAGGGAACGTTCTGTTTCATTCTCTTTGCATCAATATACCTGTTTAATGAAATTTAAAAAGAATTAATACATATATGCTAGTGGTTTGAAAGTACACACAAATGTTAAATTGAATGTGAAAATATACATGATTTTAATTTCAAAACTTTAAATTAAAATTATTAAAAACTAGAAATATATATGTTTTCTTTGGTGTTTTCACTTGTTGGTTTTAAAAAAGTTCATGCATTAAGTAAATCACATTTAATAATATTACAAAGGATGATACTATATTTATCACAATATTGTATAAGATTATTTACCTCAATAAAGCTTTATGGTCAAGCTTCAAATTATAGAACATAAGTCCCGTCTTCCAATGGGGATAATAATTTTCAGGAAACAGGTTAACTGCATACTGTAATGCACTAATTCCACCAATAAAATCATTTTGTAAAAAATGTATATCAGCACACTGTGTAGCTATTTTAAAACCTATGTCTTTTCTACCTATTTGTTTATATACAGAAATAAGACATTTATAATATAAAGGGTTTCTTTTATGTAAGTCAACACACATTTCAAAACATGGTTCAGCAGCTGTTATATTATGAAAGTGATGTAAATATATTAACCCCATATCATTCAATACAACTGGATTATTGGATTGATTTTTCAAATACAAAGAGTAAGTTTTCATAGCAGCCGTAATATTTCCATTAAAAAAATATGCGCGACACAATATATGTAAAATATCAAAATTTATTCTTGGAGACATCTGAATAGCAGTTTTCAAATAAAAACTTGATTTATCAAATTGTTTCAGTTGATAATACATAAATCCTATATTTATATGAAGATTTATAGAAGATCTATTAAATTGTAGTGCTTTTTCGTAACATATAATTGCACTATTAAATTTTTTATTAAATGCAAAGCTATCTCCCAAACCTGCCCAAGATGAATCTGATTTAGGATCTAATTGTATAGCCCGTTGAAAATAGTCACCTGCATCTTGAAACTTATTTAATTTTATCAGTAATCGGCCATATAAATTATATATTTTAGGTAAATTAGGCTTATAATGAATTATTATGTTAAGAACTCGAATAGTAATTTTATAATTGTCCATTTTAAGTAATAATATAATAAAACCTAACCAACATTCAATCAAATTTGGTTTTTCTCTTATTGCTAAACGATAATAATTATAGGATTTTGGAAAATCATTTTTTTGAAAATAATTTGCTGCTATATTATTTAATACTTCTGCACTTCTACTATATTTCTCTGGAACTTTATGTAAAATTTCTAAAGATTTGTCATATTTCTTCTGCATATAATAGGATGCTGATAATAAGAGCAAAATATTCATATTGTTGGGTAGCAGTGCATTCATAATTTCACAGACTTCTTGGGAACTTACATAATTCCCTCTATCAAATAAGGATTTTGCATATTCAAATCTTTCAGCTGAAAATAATAAAAAATATTTATTTATATATATATATTAATGTTAACTGAAACATTTGATAAATATCATTTAAAAATTTATACAGTAAAAAAAAATAAACATCATTAAAAACTAATGCATTCCTCACTTAGTTTAAAATGAAAATATTAAAGAATAATTGATATTATTTTTTGAAGTTAAAAGTTTGAAGTTTTTAAAAAATAATTTTAGATTCTTATTTCAAACAAATATATAATAGAGGAATAGCACAAGGTTTTAGTATTGCAAAAAGAGTAATATTTAAAATATTAAACAAAAAAAATTATTACATTTGTATAATCTTTATAGGACACCACCATGTATATTCAATCATATAATTTCAATCATACATGGGTTTTAAACCTGAAGATGAAGTAGACAGACAATTTTAAATTAAACCAGATGATGAGAAACTATTTTAATTAAAAATGTGTAGATTGTAATTGAAGAATATACAACTAATAGTTATACTTTTATCATAGATAATGACTAGATAATATAAGTTGTCTTTAAAATATAGTTGTCATATGCATAGTGATATTTAAGTGTTTACACAATGTGCTCACCAATAAATAGCATATAATCTGAATTCTTGGTAATTTCTGGAATGTTAGAATTATTTTTTAAAAATTGCTAGTTTTTCACATTTTACATTTTTTTTTTTAATACTTTTCCACTAATCTACACAGATCAATATTCATTTACAAGTAAACAAGTACGAATTCAATGTTTTTAGATTCTGGGTACAGTAAAGAAACTTATGGTTTTACAATGTTTTTTTTTTGTTCTGTGGACAACTTTTATACTAGATTTTTATGTGGAGCACTTTTTCTGAAAGGAAATTGATGTGGGGAGTTACTTTAAGGAGGTCATTTTTTAATTTCTCAAGAGTTTTCTCAACAAATGTTAAAAAGATTTAACAGTTTTAATGTCCCTATAAAAATCTTACAGTTCAAAAAATCGAATATAAAAATCATTTATCAAGGAATTTTTGTAAAAATCAAGAGAAATTATTACAGAAAAATGCTACAAAACAATATTATATCTATGGAGAGGAATCATTTCTGTAATCCAATATAAAATACAAAACAAAAATACTGAAAAATCATTGCAAAATGATATTTTATGTTCTTTAGATTATGCTTTTGCAATAAAGTTAATGATGTTAATTATCTTGAAAAACTTAAATCAACTGATTTTAGTTTGTATTCAAATGCAATGCAACCTGTTTGGTATTTGGCTAGAAATAGCTGTAGTTTACTACAAGATGTTGTTAAATCATGGAATGGAACAATAGCAATACTAATGGTGGAAAAATAATTAATTTTGCAATGTTAAGATGTTTAAAATGATATTAGTGACATCTGTTGGTATCAAAACCGAAAAATTAAAAAAAAAGGGAAATACAGTATATCCATAAATATATTATATAATATTGACTGTCAAACTTTTGTCAAACTGTCAAACTTTTTAATCAACTAATGCATGATGATGTACATTTTTTTATCACATAATATAATAGTGTAATATTTAAAAAAATATAATAATTAATTATTAACCATGTGATTGACAATGCAACTTTTATCAAGCGACTGACAGAATGACAGCACCAGTCACTTACAATTAGTTGCTTTTGTGTCAAGTCCCATAGTGACATATTGAGAAGGTCTCCAATATATTATTAACCTGTGTTTTATAAAACAAAATATTATAACACGATATTTATTTAAAATCTCATCACCTTAGTGTGAAAATTATTAAAGAAATATGATGTAATCAAAAAAGAAACCATTGAACAATATTCATCAAACAAATGGTTAGAATACAAAAATAATTTATTTACAGTTTAACATTTTGGACCCATTATTTGTTTAGCATTTGATATAAGATGTGAAAGTATAATAAAAACTCTTATATATACATCAAATGTTGATTTTAAAGCAATGGAATATGGACAGAAAAATGAACAAGTGGCAAGATTACAATTGGAAAAAGTTTTAGGAGTAAAGATTTCTGAATGTGGTTTATATATAGATGCACTAAAGATCATTTTTTAGAAGATACACCTGATGGACTTATAGGTACCTATACATTGGTCGAAAGTGAATGTCCTTTTCTGTAGTAAATATAACTCCTGAGAAAGGCATACGCCAAAGAAAAATAACATTATGGAGAATAAATACTATTATCAAGTTCAAGGACAGTCGCATGAGACAGGACGAAAATTCAGTATAATAGTCTATTGGACAAAAAAGGGTATAATATATGAAACAATAGAAAAAGATAATAATTGTCATGTTTACAAAACTGGACAAATTTTTTTTACCAAAACTTGTTTATCCAAGACATTACATGCCCATAAAAAACCCGAATTTATTTTGGAAGTGAAAACAGCCACAAAAAAACAAAAAAACTACAAGTTATTAAAAAAATAATAAGTAAAAAAGTATAACTTTTTATGTATTGTCTATTGTATGATTAGTTTAGAATAATATGTAACCATAATACAATAATATAAAATTGTTATAATGGTTTTTTTACTATATACATATGTAAGTATACTGAATAATAATATAAAACTAATAGGTATAATGATGTGTAACAAAGAAGATTGGGCCAACAATTTTTATTTTAACAAACAGTGGTAAGTTATTGTGTTTAATTTATAATTTGGGACATTACGAAAATGAGTATAAAGCAACTAATATGATAACAACCTGCAAATTAAGAAAAAAATAAAATAAAACTTTTTTTAAATTCTCAGTAACAAACAAAATATTTTCAAATCTTAAAATGTACATAGCAAGTAGTTCTACACAAGCAAGTTATGTAGTATTTGAAATATTAGCAAAAAGCAATCACTCATTCACTGACATTTGAGTTTTTTAAAAAAATATATTGGGTGGCAGTTGTTTTCAAACTTATAAAATTTAAGTAGTGCCAGCCAGAAATTTGTTTCAATACATCTAAAAATATGCATATTGCTTATATTTTTAAATTAAAAAAATACCAAAAAATAGTACATAACTACAATAATAGTAATGTGTATTTCTTTAAAACATTTACTTCTAAAATGTTTTCAAAATATTAACTCTTGTAGAATTTATAAAAATTAATTTTCAAATATGTAAAATAAAAACAAATAAGGGCAAATTGTGTAGTTATAATGATAGAAATTGTATTCTATTTAATTCTATTAAAATAGAAAAAAAATTATTAAATATATTAAAATATTATTTTTTTATATTTTTAATTTTTTTTTTTAAGTTTTTATCTCATAATGAGTGATCTATTTTATATAGGTAATCTGAAGATCATACTCTCATTAAACTTGTTTTTCGATAGCTATAAAAGGCAAGCACAGATTTTTCTGACACAGCTCAACTATTAATATTTATGAAGAGTTAGTAGACTTGTGTAGTACAAAAGACACTACAAACAGTGGACATATTTAAAAATAACAAAAAATATCCCATAAATATTTGATGTATATTTCACCTGCCCCAACAAAAAAGTGAAACATGACTTTTTCCATAGGGGCAGGTGATTTATGAACAAACTTTTACTCTAATAAAATATCAAAAAAGCAAATATAATTCACAATAAACTGGTGTTCCCTTATATTCTGTATATAGAATATCTTCATTGAATATCAAACCCACAAACAATAAACTGGTTAATTCTATTCAAACTTAAAAACTACATTAACTTTTAATTTTATTATTATGACTGTTATTATCATGATTATAAGTTTGTTTTTAAACCTTGTTAAATTAGTATATCAAACAATGATAAACTTTAATTAAATTTGATATAACTATAAACTTTTGTTTACCCTTCTAGTGAGCCACATAAGCAGTATTTACACCATAATTAAGATGAAATAAATAAATAAATCTGTGCAGATTATAGGCCCTTCTAGATATTCTCTAATAACTGATTTAGATGTGTTTGGTATAGCTCCAATGCATTTGAGTCAAGTATTTATTTATGCACTAAATTTACACCTACCTGGAAGTTAAATAAAATAAAGTGTATTCTAATTGTGGTGTGTGAAAAATTTATTTTTACTTTTTGGCCCTAGACACCAAAAATGATGTTGCCTACCCTGGTATTAAATAATTACTTTTGTGTTAACTAAAAAAAAAAGACCTGAAAAATAGATTAATATATTATTTACTTGGCCTATTCATTTTTTGATAATATTTAATCACTGATATCTTGGATTATCACTGGATCTCCTGGTTTGAATTTTTTTTGACAAAAACGTCCTGTAAAAATAATGAAGAATATTATAATATCAGAATAATATATCAGTAATAGATAAAATATACAACAATATATTATACATATCAATGTATTTGGCATTATTGTGTAAATATGTGTACATTATAGATTTTAAAAAAAATAACCTTAACAAAATAAATAAGTCACAAACTATACTAAAAATGAGAAGTAGACTAAACTCAAACATTAATAAAGAATATATACAATCAAATTCCCTATATTATTATAAATTTGTTTAAATGTTACAGTAAAAATTAATTTTAAAATAATTACAGTTGTAAGTTAAAAGGTTTACATGCTAAAAGCAATGATAAATCATTGAAATCAAAACATTTTGAGTGGAGATATCACAATAATCAATATTATTAACAACCCAAAAGACAGCTTTCCATTATAAGGAAAATGAAAGAAATAAAGGATCATCAGACAGAAACTCTGCAACTTTTAAGATAATACATAAAAAAAAATAATTTGCAAGGTGGGAAGGCAACTGTTGTAGATAAAAAGTTAGAGAGAAAGGACATAGAGGAGAATTTAATTTATATTTTCTAATGAACAATAATTTAAAGCAAGATTTTGTTTATACATGTATATACATTTAACAGTTTTTCAAAATTATTATGGAAACTGCTTAAAAAATCAAAAAATGACCTCCCTAAAGTACCATCCAGATAAAATTAAGATTATTTTGTTGGTCAGAAAATGTGAAAATAGCATGCCTGGCAGCAAATTATTTTATAAATGATAACCAGTTATCCATTACTTGATTTACAAACTTGAGTCTGGATGTCCCAGACAACCCATACCCATTTCATGTATACCATATGGTACTTAAATTTAAATTATAAAATAATTAAAATATAATTCTCAAATTGTTTTATCAAATATTTTTATATTTCGCTAATCCATCTGTGGAACTTGCCTGAAAATATGATTGTAATGATAAATTATAAGAAATGTATTATAATTGTACCAGAATAAAAAAATTAAATTTACATTAATATTGGTGGTAAATAATACATTTTAAATTCTGAGTGGACCGAAGAAACTTATGGTTTTAAACTTATTTGGTTACCAATGATTTATTGTTGCTTACAGATATAAATTAAATTTCTCCTTTACTACTTTCCCAAAGCCTTTTTAACTTTTGAATTCGTAATAACACCAACTCATACATGAATGAAAAAAGGGATGAAGTTTCCATTTTTTTATGTACAGAGTATATATCTTTTGTGGTGGAATAAAGTCAAAATATCGGAAAACGCCAAATGCATATATTTTCTGTGCGCCCCTGATGACCAATGACCCGTGATTTAGAGGTTCGCGTTCGTGAACTTGGACGAATTATATTGTTTATAGACGCATTTTGGTTCTTGGAGTCAAACCTTAAGAAATATCGAAAAAAATACAGTATACGAATAAAACAGTTAGAATTTGGATAATATTTTAACCCTTCAACGATATGGCTTTTGGGTAGGTAACGAATAAAAGTGTTAAAACTCGCATGTTCCAACTGATGAACATTAATAAGGTAAAGGGGAATGGAAAAATTGTTTCCATAATATGACTTTTTTTTTTTTATCCCCCAAGAGTTAGACTCCAACTGAAAAAGCATGGTAACCTACACAGGAGATATAATGTATTATTCATGAAAATATTACTTACTGGTTAAAGGAAACAGCCAAGCAATTTGAATCCGTAAAAATGTTTACTAATTGATAGATAACTCAATATAGTAACACGATGATGTCATAGAGAAAATCAGAGCACAACGAACGGAACAAAAGAAATAAAATGAAAATGATGTTTAAACCAAGATACAGAGCGTCATGACTTCATAAGCGGCCAACACGGGACGCCATTAAACAATTTTGTTGTTATATAATGTTACCGAAATTAAAGTAGGGATACACTAGTGTGACCAACTTAAACAACCATTTTATAAATTTGTTATTATATTATCTGTTATCTGTTAACCGCTGAACATTGATTTATGGTATACTGATTGGGTAACTGGTTTTCCATTCGTTTTATAACTAATCAAATTTAAATAATCACTACAATCCCGAAGACGTTCGTCTCATTAGCCGTGTTAGAGGAATTCAGCGTAATTTTTTCATAGAAAAATTAGAAAAAAGCAAAGTGTTTGACTTTAAGTCCAACGCTGTTGATATGGTGTACCCTACTGAGTTAGACTGTGGGAATTTGCAAAACGTCAAATCGGATTATGTCCTTAGAAAAATCAGATCAGGAACGTTGAGCGCCAATGATAGAGACAACCATCATGATATGCTATTAATGTACACTAGTGAAAGTAACGACTTTGTGAAATTCGCTGATTTACCATCAATACATTTTTATAGTAATCAACAATTAGATATTTTAAAGAATAAAAAAAAGATAAAAACTTGATAACTGGGTACATGGATGCCACTGGAACATTGGTAATAAAAATCTGATAAAAACATTAAGAGAGTTTTATACTATGTCATAGTTGTAAATGTCCCATTACCCAAAAATTTAAGTGTTGCCTGTCCTGTAGTCGAAATGGTTAGTTCGACATAGTATCAATATCACAGTGGCTTATAGGCTTTACACATTTTGTTTTTAAACACAAAATGAGTTGGCTAGTATTTTCAAATATAGATACGGATTTCAGTTATGCACAATTGAATGCCTTAAGCATTGGTTAGAACAACTTAACATCAATATTTTAGTATATGAATTGGTGTTTTCAAGTATTAGTTAAAAAATTTAATAAACCAAATGTTACTATAATAAATGTTTGTGTCAATCATTATACAAAAATAATAGTGAATCATGTTTACAAATATTTTCAACCACAATTTGGCAGTGGTAAAACTGGAATACAAATTAAAAAAAATTGCATTATCGATTGGATATGTATACTGTTTAACACAGAGACTTTGGTGGATATAGAAAAATAGTTTAAATAATTTGCATCGATATTGTTGTATGCTAAAGAGACTGAAGAAACAAAACGTGCTACCATGAAATCTAAATCTAATTTTGATTATAAATTACCCAATAAACAAAATTAATGATTATTTTGAAGAATCATACTTGTAAGAATTAATTGCAAAATGTATAACTTTTTTATCTCTTTGGATGCCTATTATGAATAATAAGCTAAATAATGGTATTAAAAATTGTCAAAGCAACGCTAAGCTTAAACAGTGAAAATTAATATGTTACATGGCAAGTTGAAATGTAGCAGGTTTTTAGAATCCACTAGAGATCCAGTTTATAAACAGTTGACTCACAAAGTAAGGAACACAAGATGTACAAAGTGCTCAGTTTTGATAGTACATCTAAAATGAACTGTAATTCAAAAGTCTGTAAAAAAATTACAAAAGAAAATCATCTAGACATAGAGTTGGGGAAAAAAAGAAAAACCACACAAACATCAATGAACCAGTCAGGAATTAGCCATTTAAGTCCCAATTTTTTTTTTATAATGAGCATGACCAAAAAAACATTATCCATATCCTGTAAATATCAAACCATTAATTAAATGATGGTGGAATAAAATTCTTATATAGAGACTAGGAAAATTGGCTTTGACAATTGGCAGTTTTAGATCTCTCTACAACCGAAATGAACAGTTGGAAAATCATTACAAAAATGGTCTTCCTAATAATTTAATATACTACAAACTATTAAAGTGGCCAGGTAAAAATAGTAATATGTATTATTAAGTTTGAACAAAGGATTACATACCTAACCACCAAAATTAAAATATCCTGTTTGATTTCGTCCTTTAGCACATTATTGAGACAATGGTGGCTGGATAACTTTGTTATTGACATTTGTTTGGGAACATATGCCAGAATATTTGCTAAAATAAGCACTATGCATATTTTAAGAAGTGTCACAGTACAAAACATGATGAGGATGAGATACTTTGATAAAAAAATTACTTTAAAACCGAACAATATTATTATTGTACCATTGCATGTTAATAACAATCATTGGATTATTATTTTTTTAAATTTGTGTAAAAAAGGTTACATAATATACTCCTAAAAACCATACCACAACAAAGGTCAAATTTCAAAAAAACAATTATAAATTAGTATTGAAAAGAATACAATTAAATTGGGATTTCCATTAACAAAATGTATTCAGTATCCATTTGTCAATGTTCCAAAACAGATTCATGGGGATTTACATAATATACCACCACAATATACTACTCTTTACAATTATGAAGGAATCAAATTTCGATAAAAAATTCAATCCAGATTTCGGAAATATCCTAAAAAGGGTATCCCTTAGAGAACTTTAAAAACATGACAGAGGTATATTTGTATTGTGATAAAAACACTGAGCTCAGATAGATGATTGTGTTCAGTGGGTGACACGTTTGTTGTGTAGTCTGTGGATGTCCCTGAACTGTATTCCTGAGAAAAAGAGAATAAATGATTATAACAACAATGACCACTTCTGCTTTTTTATGTAGTAAGTAAATGTAATGAAATCTAAGGATGGTATGTTTTATGATTTTTGTAATAATTATAAACTTATTATTCTTTCCTAACATAATAATAACAATTAAATGTTTAAAATAAAGTTAAAATTATCACTGGATTTATAATGAACAAATATAATATATTTATAAATATATAAGAAATGTACTACATAAATAATATATTATCGTGTTTATAATTTATTTTCTATATTTAATTCTATATCTTCTTCTTAAGTCTATATTCCAAAAAGAGAATTTAGGTGATCCTTTAGTTAATATTGTGGACAAACTTGATTCATTACTTCTTATGATATGACCAAAAAACCTTGTTATCCGTTGTTCGCATATCGCTGAGTCTTATTTTCACTTTAAGCGTGTCTAGGATTAAGATGTTCAGTCTCTTTTCGGATCCATATTGCATTACTGAGAAGGCAAGTGTTCTAAGTAGCCTCATCTTGCAGTTTTTAGAGATATGGTTATCCTTCCTAATCGGTATTAATCTGCTGACTGCTTCCCTCCCTAGTATAATGTCTCTAATCTCTCTTGATGAACTGCCATTTGCTTGTAGGAGTGAACCTAGATATATACTAGATATATAAACTTTTATTTTTGGGTAATTGTTCAGTACCGTGGTGGATGTTAATACTCCTGCTCAATCAACCACCATAATCTTGTTCTTGTTTCTGTTAATTGTCAATCCATACTTGTTGCTTGATTCTTCTGTGAGTTTTAGTAGTTGGCTCATCTCTGTTTAATATCTGGCACATAGCAAAGCACAGATTGTTAATCATCTTACCTCCAATAACCACTCCGCCCTTCCATTCCTGGAGCGCTTCTCTTAACACTGCTTCGCTATAGATGTTAAAGAAGATAGCTGAGAGAATGCATCCCTGTCTAACACTTTTGGTAGGTTGGAATGTTTCTAATAATGTAACTTCAACTCTGGTTGCTGCTCTTGACTTTGTGTAAAGGTTTCTGATTAGGTCAATTAAATTTTCTGGGACTCCCATTTCCTTTATGATGGTCCATAGTTTCCTCCACTGTACACTGTAATCCTATATAAATTAATAATAATCGAAAAGATTGAATACAGTTGGTCTATTATATTAGTTAGAAACACAAATTTTAACCATTACATTTGAAAAATGTTAAATTGACAGTCTATGTAAAATATAATAGAAATTTGTGTTTTAAATTATCTATTATTTTTCAACAGAAATATTTATTTTGTGTTTATCATTAAATTTGGTTTGTTGAAAAGGCATAATGAATTCAATATATAAAAAAATAAGTGATTTTTCTCTGGTATTTTTATTTGTTCACGGGTACATGTTGATAGTAAAAAATTATAACAGAACTAACACTATGTCCTAGAAATTTAAGATTGTAAAGTTTAAAAGTTTTAAATGTGTAGGTTCTACAAGATTCTATAGTGATGAAAGTAAAAAAAATAACAATTTAGTATTAATTTAAATTAAATTATTTTTTATACCATTAAATAAGGGGTGATTTTTACTGTGAATACTTATATTAACCCTCCATTGAAAGTTTTTAAATACGCCACTGCAGGTTTAAAATTTGTTTTGCATAATCCAGTCTATGAATTAATATTAACAAGACATAGTTCGCCTATTATACAAATTAGAAACAAAATTTTTAACCATACCTGTTTAACATGAAAATTCTTACTGACAGTTTGAAGTCTGTGTAAAATGGGACAGAATTTAGTGTTTTAAATTTATATTTATTTATTTTAGCAGAACAATTTACTAACATTTTATTTTGTGTTTATCCTTCAATTTGACTTGTTAAAATTATATAATGTTAAGAATTTATAATAAAACAATAGAAATGGACAATATAATTTGTCCCTTCTTTATAATTAGCTAAACGTAAATCTTAAAGATAAATGGAATTTCTTTTATCAGCATATGTATCAATGGGTAAATAAATCAAACATAATTTATTTGAATAGAAAAATGTTCTCATGAACTTTACATATTTACAACAGATAAGTACAAGGGTTATCAATTTTAAAAAAAATTTAATATGAATTGTAGTTTCATTTTATTTATTAATATATTAACATAGTTGTCACCTAAATTCCGTTAAATAATTAGTAATATGAATAATTAAACAAATCATTAAATGGCTAGAAACATTCTGAACCAGCCAATGTTTGTTTAATATTACAAAAGGAACATTTTTACTCAATAATACAATAATTTTACAATAATATTTTAAATGGGGTATACACTTGAAAAACAACAAGTAATTTATAAATTGTTATTGGTCATAATTATTTTATTAGTTTATTTGAAAATGGATTGTATGAAACATAATTTAAGAAGGCACCAAACACACATATACTAGTTAAAATAAGTTTTCTCAGTTTAATTAACAGATGACATAGCAAAATTATGTTCTAAATAACATAATTTTGCTATGTTTTGTTATTTAGAACATAGATTGTTTAGTTTAAAATTAGAGTTTGAATACAAATAAGAAAATTTTAATTTTTGAGGGCTTAACATAATTGTTTTAATTTAAATTGTTTTGAAGATAAAATCAACATAAAGCTTCCAATTGCATTCTTCTATTTAAATTGTTTTATTTGTGTTTAAATTCTAACTTCTTAAATCTAAACTCCACAGTTTATGTTCTGAGTGATGTAATTTGCTATTTTGATTGTTTTTTAAACTGAAACAGAAGATGAGAATAAAAATACATACTACATGCATCTAAGAAGGTCTCCATCAGCTGCTTTTAATACAATATTCAAACTGATATTATTATAAATTTCAGTTTGAGAGACTTCTTCCATCATAGAGCCATTGGTTTGATTATCTCCTTGAATTTTAGGGACAGGTTCAAAAAATGTCTACTGCACTTTTGGTAACACAGCACCAATGTTTAGTACTTCTAGAGCATTTCTAAACACTTCACACCTTTAACAAAAATGTAAATTATAAAATATAAGCATTTTAGGGAAACAACTAAATAATATACTAATACCTTTTGACAATTTCTTTTATACAATTCATATAATTTACAATAGTGTAATATTATGTAAAACATCCAAGTTAATAAGCATAAAACTGATTGGCTTGCTCAATAATTATTTTTGAAAAAATCCATAAACAACTGAAAATATTTAAAATGTTTATTAATAAAATAATATAATACAAAACAATTATGTCTATATTATAATGTCTATGCTTAAGACAAATTAGATTGTATTATATGACAATATTATATACCTGAGTAATGCACATTCGATCTTAATCTGATGGAAGGGGTTTTAAAAAACAAAATACAACAAACTATCCTTTTATAACTATAATTTTTTAATAATAAAACACATGGGCATAAGTACTAATAGTTAATATAAAAAACAAATTCAAAATTTTACTAAACTCATTTGTACCTAGTATTATATTCATGTTTTAGTTTAGTTAAACATTTAGTTAATCACATATAAGGTTATCTTAAGAAGTCAATATAAAAACAATTTGTGAATAATTTTCATTTTACTAACTTTAAAAAAATATTTTTGTTTTAAAAATATACAGTGAGTAATTGTATTTTTTACAATTATTTTTGTTATTGATAGAAACAACAATCATTGTACAGCAGCATTTTAATTCTACTTTAAAAATGGTAAATTATAATAAGGCTGTGGTTTCAATGATATTTTAAATAATAATCACAAACTAGGTAGAGTAATTTTATTATAACTTATCTTTTCGTTGTACACTTATTCCTAAACACAAATATGTGCTGTTTAACAACATTGATAATTGGTAGTTATTTGTTTTTGTATTAGAAAGAGAAAAAGGTTATAATTTACAAATAATAATTGAGATATGAGACATATTAATGTATTAATAAGCATTCCAGTTACGAGGTGACCAAATGTTATGAGGTGAAAATTCTTTAGACTTGATTCAGAATTACTTTTCTTTAGCTATGGTTTATAATTATTTTCAAATATAAATTAAATAACTATGCATCCCACTTTCCTAACATTCTATCACAAAGAGTGGCACACATCAGCAGTATCAACTCTTGTTCAAAAATTATTTTAGTAAAATTGAACTACATACATTTCACATTAGATCAAATTTGAAAATTTAATAACAATTATTTGATAAATTATTTGCGAAAATAACATATACATAATACATACTGAGTGACAATGGTACTTGAGTACAAGATATTACATCAGCTGAATGACTAAACAATCCAACATCCTAAAAATGAGTTAACTCAGGAGCTGATACTATAGATACAATATGACTTGCCAAAGAGGGATCTTTTGGACTTTGTGACCAGCATACTGCCATTAAATCAATTAAATAACTTGGATATGGCTATTTCCTATAAGAATAATAATGGTAAAATGTTATAATAATTCAGTATAGAATGTTTAAAAAATAATTATTCACACTTTTATTCAAGACTTTCTTACTCTATAAGTCAATGCAGGTTGATGTCCTTCTAAAATACTTTCTTTTACAGATTCATGAATTTCAAATGGTTGATGCATTGCAATCAGTTCATAAATAAACATTTCAAATGAAAAACAGACAACTTTTTCAGTATACTCCTCTTCACAGTTATATTTTATTATTTCTGAAGCCATAAAATCTTCTGTACCTCCAAATCTTTTAGTGCCAGACGGTATAGACAAGCCACTAATTCCTGTAAAATAATTTTTAAAGAAAACAAAATAACCATGATAATATGTTAATATTGTATAATATAAAAAACTATGCTCACCATAATGACATTTTAACATGTATTTTTTTGGCTTGAGGATCCTGGAGAGATACTAAGATAGACCAAACAAGCACATTTTCACTTTTTAAGTCTCTATAAATGTTGCTGATGTACGTATTCTAGTGCTTTTTCAACTTGAAAAACAATTTGTTGTCGTATGGTAAGAGTCAAATTTTGAACCTGGTCTTCAATAGTTTCTTAAGACCTGATCCAATGCTTCTATTGGTGCAAGATCAAGAATAAGTGATAATGGTTTTATACAAACACTGATTAGAGGAACATTATTAAAATGTTTCAAATTTTGCATTATGTTTAGATCTATTTTAACACTACAATACAATTTGCAGGTAAATTGGAGAGGATCTCTATCTCATTTTGTTTGAGCTCCCTGTACTAATGCAAAAAGTATGATAATTATCAACAACAAAAAAAATTTAAACAAATTTATTTTAAAAACTATAACAGCAGATTGACTAGCATTAAGTCCTGGAAGTACAAGTTGTATCATTTTAATAGCAATTTTTATAGTATGATTGAGCTTTTTTACTTTTACATACTCCTTTGAAAACAAACCCTAATGCTCCATGGCCTAATAATTTCCCTAGAATATCTTAGTCGTTAATGACAAATTCCTCCTCCAAACATAAAAACACCTAGACAATGTATATGTATATTTAAATAAAAAGATTTCATTTATTTTAATGATTATAGAAAAATCACTCCATATCAGGAGCCACTTGTGCCAAAGGTAAGTCTCTATGCTTGGGACATACTTTTCTACTTGACTGTGGACTGACATCATGCCCAACTTTGATAGACGATTAGCTTTTTATGTTATAAATAAATATTACAATCAAATGGTTATCAGAAAGAAACAATAATATGAATAGTATAAATTATAAAATTCAGTGCATTTAGAGATGGGCACTCATGGAAATTCTGAAATTTTTTTTCATATATAATGTATAGGTACTTACTGTGAATCTATATTTTTACAACCACAATAGATATGCATTAGAACATTGCACAGTTAACAGAACTGTACAATACAATAAATAATTAAAATATAATAATTTATTATTTTATGTTAATTTAAAAATGTTAGATCTGACAATCCAACCCATAGATGTGCGCTACTAATATCAAATGTCTTTTAACACAAAATAATTAATTAAACTTTAAGTTTAAACTAATAAACTTACCTCACAAAACTCTAAAGAATTTATAGGAAGGCATTTATCTTGGAGATAATTTTGTAAGCAAATAATACACTTGTATATTCGGATCTCTTGTAAATTGAAAAACAGTAAAACACAAACGGGTACCTAGTACCATGACAAAATATCTATTTTTTAATGTGGATGGTAATTTTTTTTAGAAAGCATCCGCGGTTTAATAGATATAGATATAGATAACGAAAATACAATGTGAATTATTTAGCAAACAACGATATGCGATAATTGATAACACCAACCATAAATGATACAATTGATCACTGTAATTTTTCAGTTTAGCTGTTACAAATAGATTAGTAAAATTATTTAGATACATTTGCGCTATCTAGCGTTAAATTTATAATTATTGAATATTCTTGCTTTGTACATTACTCCTTTAATTTCTATAGGCAACTTAAATTACACAACAGCCATGCTAATATTTCTCATAAAAAAAATACCATAGCTTTAGGTCCTCGACTTCACGCACTTATGTATTTTCATTTAAAATTATTTTCATCCGTCATTTAAAGTTTTAAATTTTTTTTTTATAAAAGTGAATAAATATGTATTAAGCTACTTTAAGAATCTAAATAAATGCATTATTGTTGTTTATCTGAATTAAATTTTAAAATTAATTCATTAAAACATTTGTCATAATATCATAAAATAAAATTCCATAATTACAAAAACTTAACTTTTTAATTAATTGTATTATAGATTATAATGAAATAGTTTGATATCCATTTTTTAATGTTATTATTATTACAAAATATACGCAGTGTCACCACAACAACAATAAGTTAAGATGATACGTCAAATTCCGATCCGCATGCGAATTCCCCTGTTCCCATTTGCACAATATTTCTGATCGATTGATATCTTATACGACTTTATATATTCAGCCGTTTTCCCTATAGAGTTAGCCGCTGAATTAACAAAAATCAGCACGGTTTTTCAATGGTACAACTCGTTTTTCTGTTACTATACATTAGTGGCTAATTATTTATATTTATAATTATACGCTGTTTTTTTTCTATTTAGCTTCACGCCATTATCGTCACGCTGGATGGACATACTTTAAATTTGTGTTTTATTTTCTTTTGTGTTATTTTATTATAAATTATTAATAAGTTATTATGATGATTGTATGAATGGTGTTATGAAAAGTGGTGTGGGGAGCAAAGCCTCCAACTAGTCATTTTGGTCAACATATATCTAGCGACAACATAGATTTAAAAATAATCACGCCTATACAGTTTTGTCATTAGCAGGCCAAACACAGGCGGCCGATGATATATTAACGTGAAATCTCAAGCACGCACTGCAGACACGTGTACAAAGTGGGGGGGTCTCCCACGAACATTTTTGAAAATTATGATAAAAGTAGATAAATAATAATCTCAAAAGTGGTTTTTGGTTTCTGTCAATGAGAAAAATAAATAAACTTTTGGTTTATTTTTATTATATTACTAGAAAGTAAGTATAAAGACGTTCTAGGATAATAGGGATGAGTGCAGCCGCTGTTATAGATAATTTAATGTAGACCTGTAAGCAATGATAAACCATTGCTAATGAAAGCTGAGTTCTAAACGGAGTTCAGTTGATAGTGATGCTTTGTCAACAATATATGTGTCATATTATAATAAAATAATTAAATAGGCTTTCTTTATTTTCTTTAATAATATTTGTTTAATGTTATTCATATTTTCCAAGTTTTCTTACGTTTTTTTTGGCGGTTTTCATAATATCTGAGAAAAATTGTGAAAAACTGAGAAAAACCGGGAAAATGTACGAAATATATTAGTAAAATATTACGATTTTTTTTTTTGTAGGTTTATAGACAAAATTCCTGTTGTTTTATCATAGATTTAAAGAACACTATAAATGATCAAGAAAATATTTCATACCGGACAAAAATAATTGATTTACTGAAAAAAGATTAGCCATACTAAAACAGTAGACTACTAAAGAAGTAGAAGTAATTAAATTTGTTTTATTAACTGTCTAATAAGAAATATATATTTTATATTCTATACAAATAAACAATGATTATTATATTAATTAATTTTCAGATATTTTTTTGGAATTATTAGACAGGTATCAGGTCTTAATTACCATCCCACAGCACCAACTTTTCAACTGTACCATATGCTTTCAGTTTATGTTGTAACTAAAACATACATTTATATAAACATCTTTGGATTTTAAAAAATATCCAACAGATTATGGTCATTACCCAACCATAATTGAAGGAGAATTTATTAAAATGTTTATAATAAAGTATGGATCATGTCAACCTGATGGACCTTCTCTTATTAATAACCATAAAGAAAGTGACAGATCGTTTTCAAGATTTTACTATAATTATAAAATCTAAAGGCGGTATAATGTTGAAAGAAAATGGTTATGCTACCGTTCTCGTAAATTAGACAGATGTTATTGTGATCAATGTTGGTTATTTGCACAAACTACTTTTAAAAATGTGAACGAGCTTAGACAAAAGGTATAATCCAATAGAAACTATTTTCTGAAAAAACATTACCTCATTTAGAATCATGTATTATTTTTTAACAGTGGTTTAAAAAAAATAGTGTTGATTACATGCTTTCTAAAATAAAGAAAGAAGTCAATGTGTGGAGGAAAAATTTACATTGATTACTAAATGTAACACTTACATTAGTAACATGTAATTTACCATTTATAGGTTATAAATATAAAATGTATGCAGGTAAACAGAAGGAGACATTATTTTTATCTATTATACAATTATTGGCAACATATGACCTTATACTTGGTGATTTATCAACCAACTGTCAATAATTATTTAAAATTAATATACATAATGTACCTAAATATAATTGATTAATATATATTATATATTATTTTATTATAATTTTATAAATGTATTCAAACAGAATGTATGAGTATATTAAATATTACCCAATTATTTAACTCATCATCATTTGATGTTTCCCCCTGTATGAATGTATTTGATTTATCTATTTTCATACAAATTTGGTTCATGACAGTAGGTATTGTAGTGAGTAAATTATTAAGTGTTGAAATGATAACATCACAAATGTTAATCAATGCCTAAAATATTAGAACAATATAATAAGGTGAGTAAAATCGTGACACTAAATTCAATTAGTTAAATAAATACATTTGTAGTTTTATCACTTTTATTATGTTAATTTTGACTAACCCTGTTGTTCAAACGAAAAATTATTTTTATTCCATATTGTTGAAGTTCTGTATAAATTTTAAAAGATTACAGTGTTCTGTTGTACAACATTGTCAAAATTTTTGCACAGAATGAATATAGAGCATTTAGTACAGAAAACCATAAATTTATTTATATTATCTGGATGTACCATTTCATTGTGATCCTCCAAAGTATTTTTCATAAGCTATAAAATCGCAAATATTACAATAGTGTGAGGTTATTTTAATAAAACTATTTTTTTTTACATTTCATATTTACAGCATCTTCAATTTATGATTAATATAATTTGTGTACTTTTTTTCACTGTTTACAGCACTACCATTTTCCCGGCTAACAGGTTTTAAACTATCAATTAAATTAAATTCATCCTTTTTATACATTATAAAAACTATTATAAACTAAATGCATGGTATTCATTGGTCCCATTTTCCCTACCTATATGCAAGCTAATATTGATGGTGATACTAAAACAAATTTTTTTTTTCGTGAAATTTCCTTTTAGAAACATTGCTATCATTAAAAGTTGGAGTAAAATTGCTGGTTGAAAAGTTGTGCATAGAAAAAAAAGAAGGCTGTAATATATTTTGACTAATACTTACATTCCCGTTTTTTGTTTTTTTGGTATTTCAAATTTAATGAGAAAACTCTTGAGAAAATTGATTTCCTTTCAAAAAAAGTGCTACACTTAGAAATCTGAGCAAATCTTATGGTAGAAAAGTTGTTTACACGTAAAAATAAAATAATAAATATCTTATTATAATATTATTTATATTATAAGTTTTTATTATTTTAATCTTTTTAAACAGTCATTATTGTCATGAGACAGCACATTGTTAAAAAAGCAATACTATAAACCAATATATATG